AAAGCAGTCTCAGCTGAACTAGAAGTCACCATGTTTACTTGTGACTTATTAGGTGGAGGCCCTCCCTTCCTAGGCTTGGGTGGTTCAGTTTTCTTGAAAAAGCAGTCCTTTGCAAGATGGTTGGTTCTCCCACAAACGAAGCAGGCTCGACGTTCAACTCCTTCCTTCTTTTGAAAGTAAACATGATTCCTATTTTGATGATAGGGTTTCTTCTTAAATATTTTATTTTGATTTTGGTGGAAGGGACGTTTCTTGTGTTGGGGAAAGGGTTTGGATTCAACATTGTTTACTTTGGATTCTTTGGGATCGGATTTTGTCATATTTTTCTCCATGAGTCTATGTTGCTCTTCAATTCTAATGGAATTCAACACTTGTTCTAGTGTAAGATCTCCTTGGGCATGGTTAAGGTTTTTGGCAAAATCTGACCAGGACTCAGGAAGTTTGTCTATAAGACAGGCTATCTGAAATGTTTCATCTAGGATAGATCCATTCACTTTTAATTGGTGAACTATATGTTCGAATTCATGAATTTGCTCATTCATTGGTTTAGAATCTACCATTTTAAATTTGTTAAAATCAGAAGCTTTAAATCTTTTAATTCCCATATCATCTAAACCATACTTTTTCTCTAGGGTTTCCCACAGAACTTTAGCATTAGTGATAGTATAATATATATCATATAACCTATCAGATAAAGCTCCTAAGATTCTGTGTAGACAATGATACTCTATTTCTTGAGGTGTTCTTGGGATAGGAATGGAATCTGTGGAGGAAGATGAGGAAGATTGCCTAGTAACTGGTCTAGATGAAGATGGGTTATCTGGTTCTATGGCTGTTATTAGATGTAGAGTTGTTAACCAAAATCTCATTTGGTTTTGCCAACGACGGAAATTGTTAGCATCAAACTTCTCTGGTTTAGCAGACATAATTTCACTTGTAGCCATAATCTGATGATGAATGAATAGTTTTGTTATTATAATGCGATAGAAATATATAAAGCATTCATTCAACAAAATTATCATGCAGTGTAACATTTTGTTTTTAAGTATTGCAGGCATCATTAACATAAAAAGCAGAATGCGAATCATGATACTATTCTAAACAGCTAAATTAGTTTCTTGGATTGTTGGAAATATTAGCTGTTTAGACAATAACGAAAATTAGTTTAAGCAATTTAATAATTAACAGATAATCACGGATTAATATTGTAACGCAGATGTAAGAAATAATTCAAACAAAAAGAAATAAGGGTTAGAAATACGGCCTGATGGTCGCGGCAATAGATCTCGGAGATACGACGACCCTCGGTCAGGCGACCTCCTTCTCGTCGGCACGAGCTTCAAGAAGGTTTTGCGAATTCTTCACCACTTTCAGGGAACCAGCAAATCGTAACAGTAAGTAAATTCAAGAGAAAGAACAGAGAAGGAGAAGAAGAGCTTTTTGTATTTCACTGTGTTAAAACCCTTCAGATTTTAGATCCTTTTATAGGGAAAAACAGCCGTTACTCATAATCTCATAATTAACACGTTTTAATTACTCACCCATTAATGTATTAACGTTAGCCGTTTTTTGTCATTTAAATCCATAAATCCACGGTATTTTACTTATAACAGTTACAAAATATTTAATCCTAACCGTTACAAAAATGTTTATCACATGTTAATTGTTCAAAAATAAATATTACATTTTAATTATTCAAAAATAAAAATGTAGCAGATTAAGGCCCATTAATCCGGAGCGGCATTCGTATCCGCAGGTCGTGTGCGTGCGCCACCCGACCCGACCCGAACCCGAGCCCGAGCCCGGCCCGGCCGGCACGCGCATGTGTGGAGTGGAGCATAACCTTTGTTTTCTTCTAGGCATAGGAGAGAAAGGGAAGGCTTATAAAGAGCCTATCTTCCCATCTCTTTTCCAATGTGGGACTAAAGTTTTCCTCCTTTCCTCTACAAACCCAAGATAAAAGAAGAACTTAAAAATAAATACGATTGCTGGTTCCCTTATACTATGTAATAGGTGGAGGTACCTTTCGGTTTGAACCTTCACTTAGTGACAGTTGTATAGATCCGTGAGAGCTTGGTGGACTTCGCCTTGAACCAGTCTCATTTATCGGATTTCTACAGAAAGCACACATAGTACAGTTTTGAAGAATTCTAAACGGGTTGCGCTATTATCGGCCTTGCGCAGGTATCTTTCATGTGTGTTACTAGGGAGCAGCCCTGATCCCATAGTCGCGGCCTCACAACTACACACATATAGGTGAATCCTAATAAGGATGCGAGCAAGTAAGCATCCTGCCTCATGGGTCTTGGATTCATTAAGAGTTAGACTCAACCTTTCACTTGCTTTTTATGAGCCCTGATCATCCTAGGGATGGGAGCAAATAAATTCAGTGCTCCTCACAATTAATCACTCATTCAGTTTGTTTCTACCCATTGAACCTCTGCTAGGTTGGGTTGCCACTGCAGTGATTTTTCATATAGGCTTAACCCCATCCCCCCTCGATGATTCTAGGACCACTACCCTAGATAAGCCTTTAGTTAAGTGATCTGTAAGATTTTTCTCTGATCTTACAAAATCTAAGGCTATTATATGGTTTTTCATCTTATATCTCAAGGATTTATGTCGCACTTTCAAGTGTCGATTCATCTTCACATTTGCATTCTCTTGATGGCATTTGTCAATCGCTGACCTGCAATCACAATGAATAGAAATGGCTGGTAATGGTTTTTGCATTAGTGGAATTTCAGTTAGTAAATCTTTCAACCATTCAGCTTCTATACTAGTAGTATCAAGAGCTATCATTTCTGATTCCATTGTACTTCTAGCCATTACAGTTTGTTTAGTAGATTTCCAGGACACAGCTCCTCCTCCTAAAAGGAACACAAATCCTGTGGTGGATTTTACATCTACTGAGTCACTAATCCAATTTGCATCTGAATAACCTTCTAGTACAGATGGATAACCTTTATAGTATAAACCATAATTTATAGTTCCTTTTAAGTATCTCAAAATTCTTTCTAAAGCATCCCAGTGACTCTTATCAGGATTTGATGTATATCTACTAAGTCTATTTACTGCATAAGCAATGTCAGGTCTGGTGTAGTTTGTTAGGAATCCTAGTGATCCTATTATTTGTGCATATTCTCTTTGTAATTGAGGATGACCTGTATTTTTCTTTAGATGTACATTAGGATCATATGGAGTGGAAACAGGTTGACAGTTTGGATCATAAAAATTCTTGAGGATTTTCTCTATGTAGTGTGATTGTGATAGCACATATCCATTCTCATTTTTCATGATTTTAGTATTAAGAATTAAGTCAGCTTGACCTAAATCTTTCATGTCGAATTTTTGTGATAAGAAGTGTTTGATATAATTTATGATTTGTATGTCAGAACCAAAAGTAAGAATATCATCAACATATAGGCATAATATCACAATTTTGTTATTATTATCTATTTTATGATATACACACTCATCTGTTTGATTAATTACAAATCCATAAGAGAGTATAATTTCATCAAATTTCATGTGCCATTGTTTTGGAGCTTGTTTGAGGCCATATAGTGATCTAATAAGTTTGCATACTTTCTTTTCTTCTCAGGTTGATCCATATAGATTTCTTCATCTAAATCTCCATTTAAGAATGCAGTTTTAACATCCATTTGATGTATTATTAATTTATGAATAGATGCTAGAGCTATAAGGACTCTAATGGTAGTAATCCTAGCTACTGGAGAATAGACATCAAAATAATCAATACCAGGTTTTTGGGTATATCCTTTAGCTACAAATCTGGCCTTATATTTATCTATTGTTCCATCTGGTCTGAGTTTCTTCTTAAATACCCATTTACATCCTATAGTTTTACAACCTGAAGGAAGGTCAGTTAGTTCCCAAGTATGATTTTGAACTACAAATTGAATATCATTATTTATAGCTTCCTTCCAAAATGGAGCATCTACTGATTTCATTGCATCTTCAAATGTAATTGGA